AAGCTGTGTAATCTTTGATGTGTGCCTTAATCTCTCTGTCTACCAGACTGTGTAACTATCTATAAAATCATGCTATCAAAATACCTTACATGTCTTTGCATCACAATAACAATTATTTCCTCTCATTATGAGTATCTAAATTACTCCAGGTTGAAAATGCCTCTTGCTACAGTTTGGAGCAATAGTTAAGCACTCAACTGCTGACTGGAAGGTTGACTATTCAAATCCACCAGCCATCACATGGGAGAAAGACCTGATGATCTGTTCCCGTAGAGGTTAAAGCCAAGGACACCCTATGGGGCAATTCTGCTCTGTCATATAGACTCACTGTGAGTCAGAATCAACCCCACAGCACATCACCACCACCACACACCACTTAGGAGCAGCTTGAAAGAGGAAAACCAGGGATGAACCTCATTATCCTGAGACTTCTCTCAGAATTAGCTATTCTGATTTTGGGACAAAGGCCATGTTGGAGAGAGTGCCTCGTTCTTTATTAGATTTGGGAATAAAATGAGTAGTCCAGCATTTAAGACTTTCTCTTCACCAGTTCTTACAAATTCAAGAAGCACTGCATTTTTATGTTATGTTGTTGTTGTTATGTGCCGTCGAGTCGGCCCCGACTCATAGCGACCCCTCCTTGGGTTTCCGAGGCAGTATCACTACGGAAGTAGGATTGCCCAACCTTATAGTAGCACATATTTCCTTCTCTTAGGGCACTATTCTTTCTTCCCTGTCCCTATTCTCTATCTCTCCCTCCCCCCAAGTTATAGAAAAAAGAATTCCAACTCTGGTCATCACAGATACCAAAGATCACGGCAGGCTGACTAATTTTGCCCAGACTTTCTGAAAAAGCTCCACATGTGCTGCAGTTTTGGGTTGCATAATTGATTTAATCTCTGATTTGAGAGGAACGCTGAACTCTTTTTGTGGGACTCTGCATACATTTCTCTAGGGCAAAAACTGTCCTACTTTTTCTATCCACTATCTGTTTAGTGCTAGGCCATTTTTTTTTCCTCAAGACTCTTAACTACCCTCCGTGAAATAAATGAAATCACAGTTGGAAAACAGCTTACTGGACAGACTTATAACTGCAAATAAGAGTTACACCACACACATTTGCTTTAACATTTTCCTCCTCTATTTCCCTTCTTTTTGCTCTAGCACATCCTTATTTTGGCTGAGAGGATACATTAGGGGCTCATCTGATCACTCGCATTGCCTATACTTCTCAATGGAAATGCACAGGCTGTGGGTTCTAATCCTTATCCATTCTTTGCTTTACTTTATGACTTTAGACAGATTTACATACCTCTTTGGGTCCTGCTTTCAATAGTCCTTAATAAAATAATGACTGTGAAGGGTGACTGTAAAGATAAGCACATAGTAGGCTGTAGGCTTTTAATGAGCCTTTTTGACTAACCTGCTATATATGACTAGCCAACTGGGGGTTGTTGTTGTTGTGTGCTGTCGAGTCTATTCTGATTCATAGAGACCCTATTGACAGAATAGAACTGCTCTATAGGGAGCTCTGGTAGCATAGTGCCTAAGGCATTTGACTGCTAACCAGATGGCTGGTGGTTCAAACCCACCAGCCACTCCTTGGAAGGAAGATGGGGCAATCTACTTCCGTAGAGCTACACCTCAGAAACCCAAAAGGGGTTGCTATGAGTTGAAATCGACTTGACGGCAGTGACTTTGGTTTGCTTTTTGGTTTATAGCAGTTCCTAAGCTCTACTCTTTACTGTATTTGGCAACTTCATTTTTAGTTATTTAAAAAGGAATTCTAAACAAAAAAAGGTTGCTTTGGTTTAAGATAGTTTTTATGAACCTGTCTGATACAGTGTATAATTTGAGAATTACCTTTGCATTAAGTGGTGGTGTCGATTGCAGTTCTGACTCATAACAACCGTAAGTACAACAGAACAAAACATGGCCCAGTCCTGTGCCATTTACAATCATTGCTATGTTGGAGACTATTGTTGTAGCTACTGTGTCAATCTATCTTGTTGAAGGTCTTCCTCTTCTTTGATGCCTCTCTGCTTTACCAAGCATGATATCCTTCTCCAGGGACTGGTCCCTTCTGTTAAAAGTATGACCAAAAGTACAAGGCACTGTTCCCTCCTAACCAGAGTATGAGATACCATCCTTGCTTCTAAAGAGTGTTCTGATTATACTTTTTCCAAGACAAATTTGTTCATTCTTAAGGCAGTCCATGGTATATTCAATATTGTTCACGAGCACTGTGATTCAAAGGCATAGATTCTTCAGTCTTCCTTAGTCATTGTTCAGCTTTCACATGCATATGAGGCAATTGACGATACCATGGCTTAGGTCAGGTGCACCTCAGTCCTCAAAGTGTTATCTTTCCTTTTTAAAGCTTCAAGAGATCTTTTGCAGTAAATTAGCACAATGAAACATGTCATTTGATTTCTTAACTGTTGCTCCATGCATTTTGATTGTGGATACAGGTGAAATGAAATGCTTGACAATGTCAGTATTTTCTGCATTTATCAAGATGTTGCTTATTGGTCCAGTTGTGAGGATTTTTGCATTATTTACATTGAGGTGTAATCCATACTGAAGACTATAGTCTTTGATGTTATGAGTAAGTGCTTCAAGTTTTCTTCACTTTCAGTAAGCATGGTTGTGTCATTTGCATAGATTAGGTTGTTAATGAGTCTTCCTCCAATCCTGACGCTTCATACTTCTTCATATAGTCCAGCTTCTCAGATTATTTGCTCAAGGTAGAGACTGAATAAGTGGTGTGGAAAGATTACAACACAGATGCATACTTTTCTGGATTTTAAATAATGCAGCATCCCCTTGTTCTGTTCAAATCTCACTAGTTACTTTTTGAAAAATTGATCTCATTTATTAATTTCTATACTCTCAGATACATTTTCCAATGAAAATAACCTTCTTTGGGTCCATACTCCCTAACACTATCTCAGCACATTCCCTAAACAATTGTCAGACTGTAAAAGTGACCAGAACTACACTGTATACATTAGTGGAATAAGGTCAGAGTTTAATTATTAGCTGCTGTCTGAATTATTAGGAGCTTTGGTGGCATAATGGTTAAAGCATTTGGCCATAAACCAAAAGGTTGGAACTTTGAACCTACAAACCACTCTGTGGGAGAAAGAGGAAGCAGTCTACTTCTCTAAAGATTTACAGCCTTGGAAACCCTATGGGGTAGCTCTATTCTGTCCTAAAGTGTTTCTGTAAGTTGGAATCAACTTGATGGCAGTAGGTTTGGTTTTTTTGGTCTGAGTTGTTGTTCTTGTGTACCACTGAGTTGACGCCTATTCACAGTGAACATATAGGACAGACTAGAACTTCTCCATAGGGTTTTCAAGGCCATAATCTTTATGGAAGCAGACTGCCTCATTTTTCTTCTACAGAGAAGCTGGTAAGTTTGCACCATTGACCTTTCTGCTATCTGCTAAGCACTTAACACTATGCAACCAGGGCATACTATTAATGGATTTTTGTCCTTATGCTATTAAAAGAATTTAGATTTAGAAAATGATCTATTACTCTGCTAAAGTAATGGAGGCAGCATCTTCTGACTTCCTTTAACTTCACAAGAGGAAGACACCATCACCATCAACAGCTCAAACCTTGTTCCTATGAGGCCAGACATGCGGCTCCCCCCCCGCCCCCCAGTCCTCTTACCAGCCTTGATGCTAACCATCCCTCCTGCATCATCTGCCTCTTCTCTGCTTGGTTTAATAATTTGCTGCAGTGGCTACACAGAACTCACAGATTATGGGGTTCCTTCAGCCTCCAGGAGCGCTTATTTTGAGCCTGGAAGAGTGACAAAAGCAACCAATCCCAACATAAGAGTTCTACACATGAGAGAGAGAGAGAGAGAGAACTTTCCCACATTACTTCGTGCTCCTCCAATGGAAATACCCCAGGTGGATGACTTTAACAATCAGGAGTTTAAATTGCATGGTGCAACCCAGAAATCTAGTGGAAGTTACAAAGACTATGCCTAGATAAGCCATACCATTACAACGCATACTCATTCAACAAAATGCTTAGCATAACAAGATTTTTAAATATAGAGTCTTACTAGCTGGAAAAATTTGGACAAGTCTTTTAATTTTTAAACTTCTTTAGAAAAATTTAAATAGAGATTAAAAAAAATATTTTCTTAGGCTTGTTATAAGGATCAAATGCTATGATGTCTGTAAAGCGATTTGGTGATCTAGCCTTAGATGGTGTATCAGTCAGGTTTTGCTATAATGATGGTGTATAACAAATAATCTCAACATCTCAGTGCCTTATAACAAATGTTTATGTTAGTCTCAACTGAACTTGGCCCCAGGTCTGTTAAGGCCTGATTCATATACCTCCTCATTGAAAGAGTAGAGGCTATGTAGAAACTATACTTTTCATGATGGAGAAGAGCACTGAGAAGTCTGGGGGAAACTTGCTAAGCCTCTTAAAGCATCAGATCAGAACTGATGGCATACTATAAGTTCTACCCAAATTCTATTGGACAAAGCAAGTTACACAACTAGGCTAAATATCAGAAATTCAGGAAAGTATACTCCACCTTGAAAAAAAAAAAAGATGAAGGAATATAGCTGAATAGGAATTCAATCTCTCACAGAGTTTAATCCATCTTATTATTTTTTTCTCTTCTTTCATGTGTGTAATTGTTGACTCTTCTGCATATGTTGTTGTTATTATGTGCCATCGAGTTGGACCCGACTCACAGCGACCCCTCCTTGGGTTTCCGAGGCAGTATCACTATGGAAATAGATTTAGATTGCCCCATCTTCCTTCTGAGAAGTGGCTGGTGGGTTTGAACTGCCATCCTTCTGGTTAGCAGTCAAGTGCCTTAGGCACTATGCTACCACAGCTCCTTATAGTCTACTTTATATTATTTACTTAGACATTCCTGCAACTGCATCACAATCCCCCCCACCCCGTTTCTTTTAATTTAAAATTACTTTGAATGATAGACATTTCTCTGCAAACAGGTACTTTAGACAATCCGTTAAAAAAAGAACAAAAGCTTCTGATCCTCCTTCGGGCTTCAGAGGGAGTCTTTTGTGACCGTCTCAATGGAATTCAGGTTGACCCAGGAACAATTGGTAAGAGCATACTAAAATATGTATTAAAATTGAAATATATATGTATTGTGTGTATCTGATGGAGAAATACCATTCATAGAACAGCTACTAAATACCAGGCATTCTTTTAGGTGATTTATGTTTATTATTTCATTTACCAGCTCCGCTATATGCAGTGTCTATTTTACAAATACCAAAACTAAATCTCAGAGAGGATAACCAGTTTACAGAAGAACTCACAACTTATATATATATATCATGACTATATATATATATATATATATATATATATATATCTCCAAATTCTGAATGTATGTGTGTGTGTGTATATATATATATATATATATATATATATATATATCCAGATATATACATATCCAAATTCTGAATGTATCCAAATTACATGTATCTCCAGAACTTTCAATTAGCAGCCAAGCACATTAACGGTTTGCCCTACCCAGTTAGCCATTAGAGTGGTCTGTCTCTCAGCTTTTAAATGATTGTGATGTGGTATAGCATTCATTTCTCTATAGACCTTGAGTTTCATATCCCTCAGATATATGTATATATATTTGACCTGATATAAAATATTTAAATTTTCTTTTTCTGATGAAATAAAGACTTTCATGTATCATTTCTATATCATATATTTTGCACATTAATTTCAGGGATGTAGTTTACTTATGTGTTCTTAATTCCTCTGAAAGATTTTCCTTTTCATATGTTGTACCTTCTATTTTCAGGGGTTTATGGAAAAGTTCAGCTTCACAGTGCTTATCCTAAGAAATCTTGGACACATCTTGGAGCTGATATTGCCTCAGGAAATGAGAGGTAGGGAATAAGTCAGTAGGAATTTGTTTGATTCAGTTTATTTTGCTTCTGCTTGAGGTTTTATTACAACATGAAATTAAATTTTAGATTGTTGTTGTTGCTGTTCTGTGCCATTGAGTCGGACCCAACTCATAGCGACCCCTCCTTGGGTTTCCGAGGCAGTATCAATATGGAAGTAGATTGCCCCATCTTCCTTCTGAGGAGTAATTCAAAGATAAAAAAATAAGATAGAAAAATAAGATACTAAAGGGGCAAATAATGTCTATATTATATTAGAAGGGGAACACAGAAAGCAAAGTCAGGGGAGGAACTAGGAGTAAATTTGAGATAATACTTATTTACTATTAATAAAATCTCAAAAAATGAGGGTTCTGTGAGGCAAGAGGTGAAAGATGAGGTGTAAATACAATAGTCTCAGGTGAAAAGGTAGCTAGCTGGTTTAGAGAGAGACAGAAGTAAAATGGTAATGACATAAAGCATATAAGAGTCTTAAGGAATTTAAGGGGAGCTCTGGTGGTGTAGTGCCTAAGGCATTTGACTGCTAACCAGAAGCTTGGCAGTTCAAAGCCACTACTACTCCTCTGAAGGAAGGTTGGGCAATCTACTTCTGTAGTGATACTGCCTCGAAAACCCAAGGAGGGATCACTATGAGTCAGGTCCGACTCAACGGCAGTGTTAAGGAATTTAACATGCAATAACAGAATTTAATAATGCATCAGAGGCGGTAAAGAACAGAATCATTGAATTGAGTAGGTAATATGAAGAACAGATGGGTGCAGTACTGCCTGAATGCAGAAGACAAAAATGGAGGGATAAGCATAATGAAAAAGAAGGTATTAGAAATAGAGAATAGGAAATCAAAAGCCACACATAGGAAATTACTCTTCTTTAATGAGACCAGACTGTGTAACTATAATAGAAAACAAATAATAAAAAAACTATAGCTGAAATACACAGCAAACTTGGGAGTACTTAAATTTAACTTGAACCAATCAATGTCAGGGAGCTCTGGTGGCATAATGCCTAAGGCATTTGACTGCTAACCGGAAGGCTGGTGGTTCAAACCTACCAGCCACTCTTTGGAAGGGAGACTGGGCAATCTACTCTGTAGAGATACCATCTTGGAAACCCAAGGAGGGGTCACTACGAGTTGAATCAACTCGAGGGCAGTGAGTTACTGAGTTTGTAATCAGTGTCAAGAATAATAATTGTTACATACCCTCACAGTAAAAGAAAACAGAGGCAAGGAGTAAAAAAGAAAAGCAGAGGGGGAAGTAAAGTTTACTAACCTCAGAATTCTCCTTTACAATTTTAACTGTAGGAAGATTTTAGTGCTACATCTACAAACATTTAAGAAAAAAAAAAAAAAAAAGAGTATGACTACATAATTGGATACCCTGCTGCAGTGTAGTAAATTACTTTGTGTGGCTTTTCTACCCATAAGTCTTTGTAAACTCCAAAGTGGGTTTTGCTATGAGCAACTGAGGAGCTCCTGATTGCTGAAGGTGTCCACCTGGAGTATTTCTGTTGGGAGTGGCACAAAACAATGTTCTGGGAGGTGCCCACTCTCTCAGGTGCTTAGAGTTCTGATGCTATAATTGGCTAGTTTGACCACCCTGCGGGCTCTAAAGGAGACCTCCTGGAGGCAGAACTCTCTCTGACTGCTGGTTGAGGAAGACGTGCTGCCGAAAGAGACACGCACCCCTGAAAGAGACACGTGCTGCTGGGAAAGAGATGCAAGAGACACACATCACTGAGTGAGACACCGAGGGACCAGCACTGCTGGGAAAGAGACTGTGAGAGACTGTTGGCCGAGGGACGGTGGGCTGGGAGAGAGACTGAGCGTTCTTCCTGAACTTGAGTTGTAGCCTGGTGCTTCCCTAATAAACCCCATAATCTGCGAGTTTCTGTGTGGCCACTGCAGTGAATTATTGAACCCAGGAAAGAGGTGGTGGGTGCTTTGGGAGGAACGGTTGGAACAAGGGCTGGAGGGAGGCAGCATATCTGGCCTTGCAGTAATAGGCCTTGGTTTACTGCTGGTAATCCTGCCTTCCCCTCGTAGGGTTAGAGGAGGTCAGAACATGTGGCCTCCTCGCCGTTTTTGCACCTGCTAAGATTCCATGAGCAGGTGAAAGCAAATAAAAGATATTCTTTGCTTTTAAAGAAGTGGCAAAATGCAATAGAGTGTTCTAATCAAGACATTAACCTCAACTTAAAATTTAAGAATAAAGGTGCTAATGGTAAGCATTGTAATAACTTAAATATAATATGCTGTAAATATAGTTATCAAAGCAAGAAAAATTCTTGCAGAAGACAAATCAAGGGATAAGCATAATGGAAAGAAGGTGTTAGAAATAGGGAACAGAAAAATTCTAATAGGTTTTCTTAAAAAATAAACTTCATAAAATTTGAGAAGTTAATAATTCTCAAATAAAATCTGGTCTGTAGTGATAAGAAAGTGAAAGTGGGACATAAGTTCCTATGAGGCTTTCAGTTGTAAGCAGTAAATATGCATCAATTTATTCCCAACCAGAGTTTTTATTTATTTAAATAGTTTTTATTTGCCATTGAGTAGATTTCGATTCATGGTGACCCTATGTATACACAGTAAAACTGTTCCATAGTGTTTTCAAGGCCATGCCTTTTCTGAAGCAGGTTTGGTAGTCCTCTGGCTGGATTTCAATTGCCAACCTTTCAGCAAGTAGTCAACCACCTAGGAACTCTGGGAAAATAGAATACATACTTTTCAAATCAGCAAAGAGAAAGGAATGAAAGAAATCATAAAATAAATAGGAAAAGAGAAAAAAGTGAAATAGTAAGAAAACAATAATAAAAATAAAAACCTATAAAAGATAACAGAAATAAGAATGAATCTGCCAGTTATACAAACAAAATATACTTACTGAAATGATGTTATATTGAAAAAGGTTAAAAATAAAAATATAATTATATTTTCTTTTACCAGAGGAGAATGTAAAGCCAATTTATACAAATTTAAAGTTTAATATGGATTAGAATGAATCATTTAAATGGAAGCATAAGCTTCAAAATTATAAAAAAAAAGAATTAAAAATCAAAATAAAGATGTAAAACTGGTCAAATAAATACATTTTAGATTAATACGGCTTCACTCTCCAGTGAGACTTTAACAGTCAGGAGACATTTATAGCAGCTATCATAATATGGAAATACATAAAGCATAATCTGTCAGAAATAATGAGGGGACTACACAGGAACAAAAATAGTAATGAAAGATTTTTACTTATGTCTTTCAGTTCTTCTGGCAGTCCATAGTACATTGAATATTCTTCATAGATACTAAAATTCAAATGCATCAATTCTTCTTTGGTCTTCCTTATTCATTGTCCAGCTTTTACATGTTTATAAGGTGATTGAAAATTCCATGACTTGGATCAGGTACAAAGATGTCAAAGTGTAACATCTTTGTTTTTGAACACTTTAAAAGAGAGATCTTTTGCAGCAGGTTTTCCCAATGCAACATGTCGTTTGATTTCTTGACTGCTGCTTCCATGGGCATTGATTATGGGTCTAAGTAAGAGGAAATCCTTGACAACTTCAAAATTCAATATTTTCTCTGTTTATTATCATGTTACTTATTGTATATGCCATGGACTGCCAGAAGAACATACAAATATGTCTTGGAAGAAGTACAGTCAGACTGCTCCTTTGAAACAAGGATGACCTTGTCTCATATACTAAGGACATGTTATCAGGCGGGACCAGTCCCTGGAGAAGTACATCATGTTTGGTAAAGTACTGGATCAGCAAAAATGACAAAGACCTTTAATGAGATAGATTGACAAAGTCGCTGCAACAGTGGGCTCAAACAGCAATGATTATGAGAATGATGCAGGACTGGGCAGTGTTTCATTCCATTGTACATAGGGTCGCTATGGGTTGGAACTGACTTTACAACATCTAACAACAACTTTCAGTTCTTAACTTTTCAATTAGGTTTAAAAAGATAGAAAAAATGTAAATGTATTAAAACCAATTTAATATGTATAGCTCAAACTCTTTACCTAAGTACCAGAGATTATACATTTTTCTACTGCCAATGGACTATTTATAGTATGTGTGTGCATAAATGGAAATTATATATAATCAAATTGTTAATTATATTTAATTACTATGATAAATAAGTTATTTTAAGTTATTTAATTAATTTGATAAATTTAATTATTTAAAAAAACTTTAACAAATGGTACAGGATATGATCACAATATGTTAAACACAGAGATTAAAACAACATATAAGCCAAAAATTTCAATCTCTTACAAAATGAAAAAAGAAAAGAAAACCCACTCCTAAATAACTTTCTATCAAAAAGGAGATCAAAACTTTACCCACCTGAGAAATAATGATGAGAGTACTATACATGAGTCATGGCCAAATATGCCATCACATTAAAGGTTTCATTATTGAATAAGAAAATACATAAATAAATTAAGCTGTCAATATGAAAGAACAGATACAAAATAATCCATAAGCCTAATGAAATCAGTCAGTACAGGATGAAGGCAGAAATTAGTGAATTTGAAAATAGATTAGTAGACTTGAATTTTTTTAAAAGTGTTATTGGCTTAATATTTTACTTTACTCGTTATCTTAGTTATCTTGTGCTGCTGTAACAGAAATACCACAAGTATACGGCTTTGACAAACAGAAACTTATTATCTCACAGTTCAGGAGGCTAGAAGTCTGAATTCAGGGTACCAACTCTAGGTGGTGCCTCTTAACTCTTGAGAGTAAGTCCCTGTCATCAATTTTCCCCTAGGTCTAGGAGTTTCTCAGTGCAAGGATCCCAGGTCAAAGATACACTCTGCTCCAGGCTCTTCTTTCTTGGTGGTAGGAGGTCCCCCTTCTTTACTCTCATCCCTCTCCTTTTGCCTCTTGTAAGATAAAAGGTGAAGTAAGTCACACCTCAGGGAAATTCCCCTTTCATCAGATCAAGGCTGTGCCCTAGATAGGGGTGTTAT